CTCTCTCTCTCTCTCTCTCTCTCTCTCTCTCTCTCTCTATTATATATATATATATATATATAGCAATTTCTATTAATAGTTTTGTATTATGGTGGCGTTGCTGGAAGCAATCGCCATTGTTAAACGAGATCCCAAGGTAACTAGTGTGTCTGTTTTTCCCTCTAGCCAAGAATCATTCAGTCTCCTTCAACAGTGCTGGAAAAGCAAAAAGGAAACTGTTTTGAATACAGCTTTCTACTATGCTCACTTCTGCTCGGTGCTGGTTACGACACCTACGTTGTCTGTGGGTATGCAACCAAGGCAATCTGTCTTATGGATGAATCAAAGGAAATATGTCCTCTACTCCAAGAACCATTGGAGGTTTGGTTACGTATTTTATATCTAAATTTATAATTATTGAGCCTTTTGAGAACTACTGCCATCATACTTTGGCTAACAGGAAAGAAACAAATATTCACTTCAGTAATAAACTTTCAGTCTTAAAACTTTCAGTATTAAAGCCGCACAATGCGCATCCAAACGCTAATTTCTCCAGTACTAGACTAGCAAATACTTCGTGTCATGCATAATCACACTACCTTATGACAAAATAAACTCTAGTTCCTCCCATTTCACTTGACGTTGTCTTATAAAATGTATTTGAAAATACCTCCAATGTTGTTCAAATTCTCCGATGTTGTTGACAGTTTTCCCAAGCAACCGCACAGCGGTGCTGCGGTACAGCGGTCTGGGTGTAGCAAAGATAAAAACGTGACGTCACCTAACCACTTCGAAGCTAAATTGTTTGGCAAATAAGCCAGCGTTAGCGCCAGAATGCCAGTTTTCTCACCTCTTTCTTGTGGGTTTTAAGCAAACGCGCAGTGAAATGGGAGCAACTAGAGTTTTTTTTGTCATAAGGTAGTGTGATTATGCATGCCACGAAGTGTTTGCTAGTCTAGTACTGGAAAAATTAGCGTTTGGATGCGCATTGTGCGGCTTTAAAGATGACAGTACTCTCTGCTATCTTTTGTGGTTTACTATCCTCTATCTTGCATTAAACAACCATGAAACTAAAATAACTCCTGTCACTCGTGTGAGCAACCCGCTGGTACCGTATTGCACTAGTATTCCCATAAACGCCATGTCTGAGGAATGCATCTTATGCATTAAAAAAGATCTGATGTGTTTTATTATGATTTTGTTGTTACATAGACAAACATTTGCTAGTGAATTTGTAATATACTTAAATATACACTGACTTTATCAGATTAAATGGCAACTTAAAAAATATATGCAGCAGGTATTCGGTTTCATCCCAACGTGGTTATTAAGATTTTCTGATGCATAGTTATTCTTCTCTCCTTTCAGGTTGACACAGCATCAGCAGAAAAACCACAAAAGAAGTATGCAGTTAAGCCGCCAAAGGATCTCAGAAGCAAATTCGAAATAAATCAACTGGAGAAGAAAATCGCTGAAGCAAGAGCAAAAGAAGAGAAACTACAGAAAGAGAGGGCCGAAAAGGTTGAATTTTCGTTAGTTAAAATAAATGATACATACGTAGTGGTAAAGTGGCAGGAGAAGAAAAAGCTAACCCTTTACGCATTAAAACAAAGTTGTTGTGATACATTTTAGGCAAAGTACAAACCCGAGTTGGAAGAACTGTATGGACTTCGCATCCATAGCTGGGTACTTGTTCTCGCTGGTAAGCGAGAAGTTCCCGAATCATTTCTCATTGAACCCCTGACTGGGCTGGCGAAGGCCTGCGACGATGCGGGATACCTCGGCATAGAAAGCATCTGGAACAATAAAAACTATTGGGTTAATATGCAAGACTGTTCACATGGACTTAAGGTAAGTTTAATTATTGGCACGGTACAATATAAAATATGGGCAATGTGATTTTTTTCTGTGTGAAAACGTAGTGGAATAAATTTGGGGTTATTGTGCAAAGGCCTAAGAAAAAAATATGTTTGTTTCCGCTAACGAGCTGAAAAAAATTGGACACGGTAGGCAGGCCAAACTTTTTATCAAATATGTATTTTTTTGTATTCTAACGATACTTGTTTTATATTTATAACAGCTCATATAATGACTTCAAATACAAATCAATGCATTCCCTGATCGATATAACGTTAGGATTTTTGTTATTAAAAAAAATTTTTTTTAATTAAATGTTGTTGTTGTTGATCACAATAAAAAGTTTCTTAGGTCTTTGCACAATAACCCCAAATTTATTCCACTACGTTTTCACACAGAAAAAAATGGACTCGCTCGGGTTAGCGGAAACAAACGTCTTTTTTTTTTAGGCCAAAGCAGTGTTTGCTATCCTCTTTTCACGCAGGACGTAGTGTATGACCTCGGGGATTGCACCAAGTGGGAGTTCATGTTTCCGAGCAACGAAAAACCTGTCTTGCAGATGTCTCAGAGTGGAGAACAATTAGCAGACATGGCTGATGAAGAGGTACACTGATAATTAATATTAGAGCCTAAGATCATCATTAAAACATATTTCTTCTGAATCTAGAACTTTCACTTGTTATATCATGTGCATGCGTACGTGCGTGCGGGCGCGAATTAGACCCTGCTATCGAACATGCGTTCATATATTCAGCATTTGTATAGTTGTGTGTGGTTGTAGTTGATAAATAACTATAAAATTTCTGTTGTGCATTTTTCTGGACAGGAGTTTGAAGAGGTGGAAAAGTTCATAGATATGCCACATTCCTGGTCACAGCCGTTACAGATAACAAGAAAAGGTGTTTTAAATCTGCTATTTGTATTGATATTGTTGTAATTTTGTAAATTGCCACTATATTCGCTGCTGGGTTTAATGAAGTTTAACCAGTTTGTTTCAATACATTTTACTTTAAAACTGCTTTTACAACAGCAACATGCAATGCTGAATAAAGCTCATCACATTGGTTAGCCTATAAACTGACCAGATGCATCGTAACCTTGCTAATTACAGAATTCCAGTTGCGATGTCCACATGGGAAAAAAACAGTACTTTACAAGAGAGCAAAATTAGAGAAGTACACCCCATATCTGCTGAGCGATGGAATGGTAGCTAAGCTCTACATATACAAAGATGATGAAAGTATGACCAATCTCTGTCTACCACTTATTATTCCTCTATGTTCAATCAACACAAAAGCAACTGATGAAAAAATGTTTCACAATGAAAATGTGTAAATGCGAATCACACTTTTTCTTAAGACAATAATCATTCATTCAAGTTACTAGTAAGGTACAAAACGTAGAAAACCTGCAAATCTATAATATTGTCACAAATGAATTGTTACTCAAAGTATGTCTAACTTCTCGTCTCTAGTTGTAATATTTTATTAACATTTGTAGTGCATAGTCTCAGCATTACAAGAGAATTCTATGAGAACAGAATTGATCATCTAGAGAGGCGACAGCACAATATGGACACTGGGTTCGTGACAGAGTACTTCAAAAAAGGAAAGAAGAACGCATTAAGAGGTAGCAGGATTTGTATATCCCACTATATATAATATCAGGAGTCTATCAAAATTTTGATAGACTCCTGATAATATATATATATATATATATATATACATATATATAGAACATTGTGTATGTACTCATTTGTAACAATGTAAAAATTTGAAACTATAGATTATGTGTGGCCTTTTTCCCTAGTTTATATCATTTTAGCAAGAACTGACATTTCAGGAATACAAGCACTCGCCTTGTCTTTATATATGTTACATAATTGCACTGTATTTAAACCTACTAATGGATAGCAAGTTCTATCTATATATCCTATGGTCATCTCTCCTTTCCTCTAGTATGTTACTTGTAACATAAATGTTTCAACATCGGTGCAGCAGGCAGTATAGCTTAACCTACTAACTGATAGCAAGTTCTATCCATATCTCATCTCTCTTCTCCTCTAGTTTGTTACTTGTAACTTACATGTTACATCATCCCAACAGGCAGTATATCTTCACACACTAACTGATAGCAAGTTCTATCCCCCACAGTCGTCTCTCTCTCTCTCTCTCTTTTCATTTAGTTTGTTACTTGTAACTTAAATGTTACTTTACCGCAGAACACTACTACAAGGTCAGAAGTCAGGGTCCGGAGTCGGAGCGCACGATGATCTTCGACAGCCACATGCGCGTCGACGGACTCGTGAGGCGAGAGGAGCTCGCGACGGAGATGACGGAGCACTATGTAGAAAGCACAGATTTCCTCGTCTACAAGCACACTAAATTTGGAAAACGTGTGAAAATCTTTGGACCGTCTTCAAAATCTGCGAGGCCAATATCGGTAATGTCGCAGATAATCAGGGTCAAGTCTGTGTTCTATTAATACTGGAAATTTGCCTTCCAGCTGTGTGGCTTCTTCCGCTCGATCCTTATGGTGAATCCCAGCATAAATCTTGTATAGCTGCCTTACTGAAGTTCCTATAGCCAGGTGGCATTTAAATTGAGAAAAGTATTTGCCTACAGGCGACACCTATTTCATGTTGCATCTGCTTTGATGCGGTGTTCTGCAATCTCGTTTTTCGTTTGGCGTTTTCGACCTTTAGTGCATCGAAGAAAAGTTTAAGCGGAATCCGGAGCGATCTGTGAGCACAAACCTGGCGCTACGTGAGTTTGACATTGCCAGTGACACGATACGACTGACATACCACCACGAACCAGACTGCGTCACCGCGGCGACCCAGGAATTCATAAAGCCTCCAAATCTCGACGAGAAGCGGGACGGGACCGTGAATCTGTTTGAGTATCTGTCGTCGTATCAGGTGCTGTCTCTGCTCTCGTATAAAAACGGAAACGACATTGTGACAGAATCTAATAACGGGGGTTGTATCGAATCAATAACCTCTACGATAATATCGACCTTGAATACTTTCAATCTTTCAATCTTGTCAATCATGGCCACTCATTTGCTTGTCTGTATTTTTATCAGCCGGACCCACATACACCCAAGCCAACTAACCTGCAGCTCTATCAGCAGCTTGACTCGTTAATCAAGGAAGAATGGAAGGCACAAGCCAGAGTGAGAGACAGTGAAGCTGAGGTGTTGTATATGCTACAGTCTTGCACTTAGTCATCGTTGGCAAAAATGAAAAAGTAAAAAAATAACAAAATAAACCGTGATGACCAAAGACTTAGTTGGTTAACAGCTAGGACTTGGAATAGCTGCTTTGTCATATGTGGGCCAACCTCCCGAGACACGGTCTGACAAATATCTGTACGGCTATCCGTGACAACTTTGTTGATCTATGTAATAAGAATAAATCTTGTTCATAAAACACTTAAACTCGTATGCTCACGCACTCTTTGCTTGATCTATGGAGGTGATTTGTTAATCGAACAGCTAGCTCTCTCATATACGTATACTGTTATGCTGAAATGACAGGTCTCTACTATGTAGCAAGCAATGTTGAGAGTATCACGTTTTATTCGTGCTGTTTGTGCACAGGTCATTGAAATACTGAATGAACGGCGAAGGGAAGAGGCAAGAACTGAGCTAGACATATCCATCTACGATGTTGAGAGGAACGAGAAGGCAAGAAAGCAGCGACTTGCCCAGGTTGGCATCATATCTCCATTTTCTAATATTTCCGAAGTTGATATCTTCCCCATCATGGCTTTGGAACAAATCACAGACAAAACTCAAACGTGATTCAGCGATTTTTGTATCCCAAATAGGATTACTTGTACCCAGGAGATACGTGTGTTCAGGACACAAACAGCAGTTTGTTTACAGGAACACGCACATATGGGCATCGAGTCTGAATTTGCTTTTGCAGGTGCAACAAGAAAAAGAAGACAAGAATCGTGAGCGAGAGATGGATACCGACTACCTCGCTCCGTTTCTCACGCGGTTCAGCAGTAGTGAGGGTGCGCTGAAGCGGTCGCAGGCACTCCGTGTGAAAGACGAGTGCCTTCAGGACCTCAAGCAGCGACTCATCGACAAGGCAAACCTAATACAGAGCCGGTTTGAACAGGTGAGACCTATCGCAAATTTAAAAAAAAATGCCAGACCGTGACCAGATGACCAGAAAAAATGAACAGAAAATTGACCAGAAAAATGGTGACTGTGAAGAATGCAACATCGTAAGCTCTCTGTGCGACGGCTTCACGTTCACCAACCCCTGTATCGTTGGTTCTGCAGGAGACAAATGAGCTGCAAAAGAAGCAGCAGTGGTACCAGCAGTGCCAGACGAGCATGAGCAAGGAAGACGAAGAAGAATACCTGAGCTACTGCAGCGCATCGATGTTTCGTATACACATTCTGGAGCACAGACTCAATAAGTATGGCTCCACTTCCCACGTTATAGCCTTTAATCAATGTCATTACTGTGGTGTGTTTTCATACTTCCCTGCATATGCATTCGCATTGCATGGATGGTTTCATATTGATATCAGCACTTTCTTGCAACTTTCCGTTCACACATGCTAATGGATAGAATAAAGCATAATTTCCATTTTCTAATGGTTGCTTACTGGCCCTGCCATCAGACATTAGTCACAGTAAGAGAACTGTTGAGAATAATTTCAATTTCATTTTTGTTGTTTTAGGCACAAGGAGCTGGCACCTCAGCGGTACATGGCATTGGAACAGAAGCTACGCAATGACGCACGGCTAGCCGATTTGTTGTAAATTAGTCATAGTATAACATCAAATAAATGGGGATAATGGGAGTGAATTGACCTGTGTTTTTGCATAAATCCCGTAGGATCACAGTCATAAGATGCATCCTCATTGTGAAGGTTGGGGTAAAAGGATCAAAAGATGGTTAGGCGAAGGTTAGAAATATTTTACATGGTTTTGACACACAACATGGCTCTAAACCATGTAAGCTAATCAGTACGTGGTATAACAATTAGTATAGTTTTTAAAATTATGACTCAAGCTTCAATCCTAAATGCACATTCTCCTGCTATACCAGCCATTATATGTCAAGTGTAGATCTGGATTCTAATAGGTCTTTTTGCATTGCACATGGAGGAACTGGCATCCATATGCCCTATCCTATCTTAGGTATCTGAAAATCACAGAATCATTGATGACAGCATTATACACCGATGGCAATATCTCCTGGTGGTGCATGCATTACTTTTCTAATAGCCAGCCACACACTACTGCTGATAGGGTCTATGCCACCCAGGTCTATGTCGATATATCGAAAAGTACCTCGGGGTAATATACGATATGTCGCTGCGTACACTGCATTGTCCCACCGTACCGTGACTTTCAGCTAACTGATGTATGGTGTACGATTTGTCAAATTAGTCAAACACA